CCCCAAAACCCCAAAACCCCAAAACCCCAAAACCCCATATAACATGACAAAGACTGAGATAAAATAATAAATATGTTCCAGATAAATTACACTCACAGATGGAAGTTGAGAGCATTGTTAGTCATACTGATAATCCCAACTGTCCAAATGGTAAGTAGCTCCTTCATCCAAAGATCACTAAGAGCTTTTTCACAAGAATATCGAACATCTGCCTCTACATTAATCTATTTAAACCCCTCCCATTATAATTTACTCAAAATTCCAAAGAAAACTCCCACAATATCCCTAAATCAGCCTATCTCTTCATATTCCTCTCTTCCCTCCCAACCCCGAAGCCACTTCTCCACTTCCACTCTTCCTTCCCACTCCCTCCTTCTCTCTTCCATCCCCACTTGCACTTGCTCCTTCTTCCGCTTTACCCAGCCCGCTTCACTATGAGCCCATTTTAGTAATCCTGAACGTAATTATCATAGAGCGAGACTTTGGTCAGCCAATTTTTAGGTAAGAATTAGAATAAATGACTCGAAATAAAAAATAGTAGAGGTCAGTCTTAGTATAGAGTGTTTTGTGTACTGGAAGAAAAGGGAGGTGTTATTGCTAGTAGATTTTGTGTGAGGGAAGGTAGACATTTGACATGAGGGTCTGGAATAATATGTAGCATATATTTCGAGAAAAATTTATAGTTATTAGTTTTGGCATGGAATTTTTTGATAGCTTCTCAGTTAAATCGTAGCTTATTTTGTCGATTTGTAGTTTAGATTGAATTTAAATCACTAGTATCATGTTATCAATTTATTCTATTGATAGGAAGATGTATAACCTCTCCTCAGTATCTTTCTTCCTGCACCACATAGTGCGTGCACCTCTCTAATTTTCCCTCTAAAAAAAGATCTTAAAATGGAATAATTCCAATTTTTAGCTTCTTTCAGTCTAAAAATGCTATTTTGAATGTATGCAATTTGGTAGCAGGAACGAGTAGGGATTTGGTAGTGGAATTTAGGTGGTGAGGAAAAAGATGGATGCGCGGGATGGGGTAAAAGGGTGGAGTGGAGATAAGGCAGGGAGCTAGGGGGAGATGTGTGGCTTGGAGGAGGCTGAGGTTAGGATTGAGGCTTATGATAGGGAAAAACATAAAAACTTGTTCATTTTGTTAAAATTAATAGCTGTTTTTGTGATTCTAAAATTTTTGGTGACCTTCACCAATATTTACTAATTGAGTTGATATTAAAAATTTGCTTTCTTACAAGCCCTTTTCACAAAATTGTGCTCATTTTAGTCAAATTTTGGGTCCATTGTGAAAAATTTCCTGGCTAAATTTAAGTTATTCACAAAACTCCATAAAATATAATTTATATCTCTATGGTAGCAAATACTTACTTATCCTTGTTATTTACAGATTTAACCTCCTTAGACTTGTTACCGATCTTAGAGTTAGCAATCTTGAAACATATTCAAAATTGAATTCTTGATTATCGATTTTTTTAGAAACAAGTATAATAACACTTTTAGTTAAAACTGCATACACAAGATTTGTAGGAGACCACTCTTTTTCCTTCATCAGCTTCAGTCAGAACTTTCTGGAGATCTTGTTAAATTAAGTTTAAATAATTTTCGACCTTGATCTTGCTACAAAGTAACAAAATATCGGTAAAAATTAAAATAGTTAGATTACCGAGGAAGGTTAAATTATATTATTCAGGTGTTATTTTAAGTTAAAAGTTATGAAAATTCAGCAAGAAATATAGCTCATCTCTTAATTATAGTCTAAACTCATTCCTAAGGTTTTTCTATAACTCAATAAACTCAAAAAGAATCCGAATATTGATCCATTTTGAGAAGTTAATAGTAGTTATACTCCAAATTTTTTAATTCAGGTTTACAACATTTTCATAGTGAAGTCCAGGATATTTCCAAGATGAGTTCTCTTGAAGAGCTTGCAACCCCACTTGTGCCACCTGTGAACAGTACTCTAAGTGAACCACCTGCAGTAAAGGATTTCTTTGTAAGTCTATATTTGGGGTAAAGAAGAGACTTGCTCATGGCAAGTTTTGGGATTGGTAGTAAAATTATTAATAATCTATGATAAATAAATTTCATAGTTAACTCAACCACAGAATTATGAGAAAGCCCAGAATGAACATCAGGTGAGTTAATTTATCCGTGAGACTTGAGAGCGACATATTTTAAGGAAAAATTTATACCGTGTTATAGGTGAATTTTATTCAGACTCAGCTGAGGCTTGAATAAGTTGAGGATCCAGCTGATCCTCTCAATGAGCATATAGAATGGAGTGTCTCACTTGAGCATCTGGTCAGTCCCTTGATCTTGATTCTTTTGCATGAGTTAATGAATGTGATACAATGAAAATAACTATGAATGATCCAAAGTTAGGAGGGCTGCCAATTTGTCGTGGTTATGATTTCTATGTCAATCCATTAAGTTCAAGTACCACTGAGTTAGGAACAGCAGATCATCCTTACAAAGAGCTTCATACTGTTTTTCTAGAGCTTCTATACTTTCATTCTCATTCAGATAAAGAATTTGTGATTAAATTATTTGAAGACACTACAAATTATGTTATTGAAGGAACTTATCTTATAAACATTTCGAACTTAAGAATTGAGTCTTATTCAGTAAACCAGGATAAGATATCCAAAGCAAAGTAAGCCTTGCTCTACCATTAAGCCTAAATTTTTGGTCTCAATTGAATTTTTAGGGTTGTTGCAATAGAGAGTGTAAGCACAAAGCCTCCATCTTTGATACCTTCCAAATTAATTTTATTAGGTAAAATTTTGGGTAATCAATAGATTCTTCAACAATTGATTATGTATCAAAGATATCTTCAGATGCCGATATTTCAGCAGAAGATAAGGCTCTGTTGCTAGACTCAGCTGATGGCATACTATATGTCTACAAGAGCAATCTAAGGATGGATAATGTCTATCTCTCCACTGAATATGCTTCAGTAAATATATTCAAAAATTTTATCAATCCTATTAATGCTGGAAATAATGTTATTTCCATCACAAATACTATCAGCTTACACGAAGGAGGATTTCTGTCAACTTCACAACAAATGAGTCTTGAAATTACTGATTCTGAGTTCGATTTGTACAAATCCAGGGGAGGGTTTAACCTCCATCTTTCCTGAATCCAGGGCCAGAGTTCTCTTCTAATCTTGACAAATATATCAAACACTAAATTTTATTTCTCACAAGGTAGGCCTGAAAATACTTAATTTTAGATCCTTCTTTGAATCTGAATGTGAACTTTCCTCCATTTATGCAATATGGAGGTCATGACATTTCCTTTAAGAATGTGACCCTGATGTTTTTTGGAAGTTCTGACTCTAATGGCTACAACTTCGCATTGATGCCAGACCAGACATGTGATACTTCCGAGGTTGGGTCAAGAAATATTAACTTTACTGATATTAGGATCGCTAAGGATTCTTCCTGGCTCTTTGAACAACAAAATATGCGCTTTGGGTTACTCTTTAGGTAAGCCAATTATTAAGTGTACAGCGCAAGCTCAAGTAACAGTCAAGTCTTAAAAATTAATATCGATAACATCGAGATTTCTGATACTGAGGTTAAGAATTTAGTGCCTTTGAGAATTGAAGGAAATGGAATCTTTGAGTGTAAAATTCATGGTAGCACTTTCTCCAATCTTCTTACATCGGTTGAGATGATAAGAATCTCTGGTTGTAAAGGTAACTTATCTCAATAAATACTAGATCCTGAGATTCACAACACAACATTTACAAATGTTACAATGTCTCAAAGCGGATTGGTTAATTTCCAGTCAATTAACAGTGGAATTTTTAACCAGACGGTTCTTCAAGGAATTCAATTTAAAGGGGCATTTGCTTCTAATTTAATGTCTTTTATCAATTCAGGATCTGAGAAGCTTCAGATAACAAGTTTTACTTACTCGAATGGTACAATGCAAAACTCAAAGACTCTTATCTATCTTGAAAACCCTTATGGAGATACATTTGTGGATACAGTAGATATCCAAAATGTATCCTCAAGCGCTTCATCATCTTACATAAAGATCTTGAGTAGCAAATCCTCCACTCTAAACACCCTGAAATTTACGGATTGTTCACCACTAATATCTTCAGATGTGAGTAGTATTCTCGTAAACATGAGAGAGATAGCATCTCCAGTGGACAGTAACATCACTTTCAACTCCATCAGTGTGGTTAACTCTCAGCTAAATGTAATATGGATCTCTAATGTTGACCAGTCAAAGACTATTAATCAGTATATAACTATAAATGACCTTGTGATTACTGATATTACTTTTTCATTCACTCCTCTTCTATTAGCAATGGAGAATATTATATCAGACGCTACTTTTAGTCTAAAGTTCTACCGCTTAATGATCGAGAACATCAGTAACCAGGATACATCTTCATTGATGGTATTTGGACACCAGATTGAACAATTTGTTGAGATTCATGACAGTGTTTTTAGGAATATCAGCCAAGCAGGATTGGACATTCTTGTTCAGGATAAAAGTCGTCTAATCCCTACAAAAATTTTACTCAATAATGTTACTGTGGATAGCTGGTACGGAAATTACTTGTAAGTGCTCATTGTATGAATTATAGCTCATTCATGGGAAGCCTTTCTCTTTCTGAGGTTCATGTCACCGGATCAAAGTTTTTAAGAATGAGTAGTAGTTTTGGAGGCCCAGTATTTTACACAGAACTAAGTGGTTCAAAGTTTATCATAAGCGACTCATTATTTTATCAAAATCACGCACCTCAAGGAGGTATTTTCTATATCGATTCAAGAGCTTTGTTAAGATGTACTCGGTGCAATATGACCGACAATTTTGGAATCACTAATTCTATTGCATACTTGGGAGTTGGAGGTTATTTTGAATTTTATGACTCAGATATTATCAACAATCATGCCTTATCTGTTCCTATTGTCGAGCTTTCCCTCGCAGAAAACAAATCAATACTTAACCATTGCAGACTAAGAAATAATACTATCCTAACAGAAGAGTATATTAAAACTTCAGTGTTGTCTCAAGGTAAAGTTGATAGATTAAAATTTAGACCACATACATCCTGACATTCGGGAGTATATTTTAGCCACTCCTTATCTATTCTCGATTAACATTCAAAACTCAGCAATTTTGGCTATTACAGGAGAATTAGATGTGACTAATCAAACAGTATTCTCTTACCAGCATACCATTATCAGAGCTATCGATTCTTTCATATTGCTAGATGAAGTGTCCATCCTTGACATGAATATTGAATCTGATTGCGTAATCTCTGTTCAGAGTGATATCACTCTCAGTAATATAAGCCTGACTAATATGAGTAGTCAAGGGGATTATTACTTTCTTAACTCACAAGACTCAACGATACGCCTAAATTCAGCTAATTTTAGCAGCTCTTCAGTTGGACTCATCACTAGCTTATCTTCAATCTTGAAAGTTGCTAATTTAGAAGTTAAAGAAATTAAGAATGTTCTTAACATTTTGAAGATTTTGACAAGTGAAGATTTGACTCTTGAAAGCAGTAAATTTGAGCATATCTCTCCCAATGAGAACTTGATTAATGTATATAAGTCTTCAGTAAGCCGATTGAAAGACATACTGATATCCAATGTATCTAATGTTGCTATTCATGTTAGGCAAAGTACTATTAATTCTTTGCAGAATATAACATCTATCAATTGATTAATAGGAGCTCATATTGAAGAGTCTCTGATACAAAGTTGGACAAACTCGGTTTTTGAGAATTGTGGAAATTCCAACATTGAACTAGGAGGAGCCATTATGATTCGTAGAAGCAACACGACCATCCAAAACTCAGTTTTTACAAATAATGAAGCTCAAAATGGAGCCGCTATTGCTATTGATTGTGATACAAGTTTTCATTGAAACAACAAACTTAGTGGTAATATTTTTGATTCCAATAATGCAAAAACTCAAGGAGGAGGAATATACTACAACATGGACAGACCAGTGATGGATGGACTTGTATTTGCAAACAACAATGCTTCTTATGGGAATAACATTGCTAGTTATGCTTATGACATTATTTTCACTAATAGCCAGACTAATAGAGCAAAAGCTGACTCAATTGGAAGTGCAATCTTGCTTGAAGAAACCTATGAAGTGAGAATCGTCGATTACGATAACCAAACAATTAACCTGATCAACACAGGGGTTGTCAACATTGGAAGTAGTTTTTCTAATACTTCTGTGGGAGGAATAGATCGAGCTAAGATTGTAGAAGGTGTTGCAAATTTGACTAATTTCTCTTTTATTGCACCACCTGGATCTCAAAATATCACGTATCTGGTCACTTCGAGCCACATAGATTACGGAAAGATAGCATATCTTTCTAGTACCATGAGTACACCTGAGAAAGCAAGATTCATAATAAATTTAAGGTATTGTAAACCAGGAGAAATGCAAATTGAAGAAAATAAGTGTAGAGAGTGTAGCTTTGGAGGATATTCTTTGAACTGGAGTTCAATCTTATGAGAAAGCTGCATGCCAAATGCTGACTGTCTAGGCTCAGACCATATAAGCGTTGACAAAGGATATTGGAGAAAGACAGAGCAATCTGATCATATTGTTGCTTGCTTTAGAGAGAAATCATGCTTGGGTGGCTATCATCCTGAGAATGAAAATCCTGTCAAATGAGAAAAAGGATATGAAGGTTTATTATGCTCGAAATGCTCAATTACTGATGAGAGCAAGTACCAACCTTCGGGTAACTTTGAATGATTGAAATGCCCATCTCGGATATTAAATGCAGTCGAAGTCGTTATTTTTCAGCTCATTGCTTTAGCTTTCATATACTTTATAATTATCATCAATATTAGAAAGAAAAGTGAGAATCAATTCTCAATATTATTGAGGATATTCACCAATTACACTCAACTTATCACTGTCATAATGTCCTTCAATATTAAATTCCCAAACATTTTCAACGAAATTTCTACTCAATCAGACACTGTGAACTCTCCAGAGAGAACTTTCTTCTCATTTGACTGCTTCATTGAAAACAATGAAATCAGGATGTTTGCTCCTTCAAATGCTCTTTTCAAGCTTTCTCTTTACCTGATCCTTCCAATCTTTCTGCTGATTGTAGTCAGCATTGGGCTTTTGCTCTACAGAGTTATCATGCAGGTTTATAAGCCAGGGATGGAGCATGACATGAAGAGGTACATTGCAATCTCATTCATATGCATTGTGTTCATCTTCCATCCAACAATGACATACCAATCTTTGAGTGTCTTCCAATGAGCTAAAATTGATAGCAATGATTCTAGAATGATGCTACACATGGATTACAAATGATTCTCCAGAGACCACCTCAAGTGGATATTTGCTGTCGGGCTCCCAATTCTTATCCTTTGGGTAATTGGGATGCCTGCAATTGCATTCCTGATATTATTTAAGAAGAGAGAACATCTCGATCAACCAGAGCTCCAGAAGTATTTGCTTATTCTCTATCAAGGTCTTAAACGAAATACATTTTATTGGGAACTGGTCAATACTTTCAGAAAGTTTGTGGTTCTTTCGTTTAATGTGTTTCTTAGCACATATGACCCGTACTATAAAATACTTGGAGCCATAGGTAAGCTGTTTTGTTATATTTATAGTTTCCTTGATAATCTTTGTCAGAATCCAAGAAAAGCTCAAACCATACAAAGAAGAATCAAACAACAGAATAGAAGTTCTTGGGATGATTGCTGGAATCCTGACTCTATATTGCACTCTTGTATTCGTCACCGAAGAGGAGGATGTAGATGCTGTTCATATATTCAGTTTGCTTCTGCTCTTTGCTGTTAATGCTTTCTTCCTTCTCCACTGGTTATATAACGTCCTATACTATCTAAACTATAAAAACAAATATTTTAGAATGCTCATGAAGATGTTTTCCCTTGCTTTATGAAAGAATAGCGCTAAGTTTTCAGAAGAAATTGAAGGCAAAAGATTAATAATAGGCCCAGGAAAGAAGACCAAGAAAGCAAAGAAGAAAAAGAGCAAGAAAAAGCTTCCGTAGGTTTGTTATTAAATATTTAGGCTTAAAAAAGCGCTTAAACGAAAACCTAAGAACAATTTTCTGCAAGATTCATCTCTTAGGTCCCCAGCCCCTTTGTTCAAAAGCTCCCAAAAGGGATTTAAAAGTACTTATGTACACTTACTTCTAGGCTCAGTGAACCGAAAAATTAGTTCTAACACCTCCCGCTTTCGCAAGAATTCAGCTATTTCGATTCACCCTAACTTGAAAGAAGAATCCAGTGATCTCAGTGTTTTTAAGAAATTCGGAGTACTGCCATTAGTCCCTGAAGAAGAGAAACATTAATTATTTTATATGTTCAGTTGTGAAATCGTCCCTCGGGGTTTTGGGGTTTTGGGGTTTTGGGGTTTTGGGG